CCGACTGAGCCAGCCAGTCGCCCATAAACACAAAATTTTAAATAGCTAATTTAAAATTTTTTTTCTTGCTTCAGGGTGACCTTGAACAAGTCATAATTATATGTTTCAGCCTGCTGGTGATGCGCCCTAACAGAGAAGTTCCCAGACTTTCTCAGTTCACAGAGAAATTAGTGTCTCTGCCATTTTTCTTCCAAGTGCCTAGGCCAGAAGAAACACCTATCGGTTCTATTTATTAAGAGGTGAGGTCCAAACACCTTCGTATTTATGTCCTAACAATTAGGAGCTATTTGAAAGAAACAAAAAAAGAGTACATAAATAAGAAGAAAAAAGGATATTTGTATTCTGTTCTTAAATAGCCACAATGAATTACAAATAGCATGTATGTGTGTGTTGGGCACTGCACAACTTCCCAGACCTTAGAATCAGGTTGGACATAGCCATTCTCATTTTCTGTTCCACATCAATTTCTCCCTGGCTTTTGCTTTAATCACAGCAGCAACCAAAAACTCAGCTTTGTAAGATACGGAACCATGAGAAAGAAGTACAATCTGTCACGAGCCCCTGGTAGGAACACTTTGACCTGGAGGCTATAGGGTCCCACAGTGTTTGGGTATCACTTTATTTCCCTTGAAAGCTTAAACATTTGCTGACTTGTCCCAGGGCATCCTGGTGCACAGTTTGGGAACCATGTCTCTAGCATCTATTTGAAACTCTATCATGGTCTGTCTTGCAACTTCATTGGAAAATATTTGAGGACAAGGGCCATGTATACTCCACAACTAATGTAGTTTCTTGTTCAATAATAAATGCTTCATAAGTACTGTCTTTCATTGAATTGATGATGTCATAGATTGGAAGATGCATACTGATTTCCAGAGATAGTAAAATATAAAAAAAGAAAGCACTATAAAATCAGGGAAATACAGTAGTTATTTGAATAAGCCGGCATGAGTTTATTGCCCGTGTCTGAGTCAACGCTGCAATTTACTATCTACCCTTGTGATATCTGTGAAATCTAGCTCATCGGTGTCCTTATGGGCTTAAAAGCCATTGTAGGAATAAATCCTAAAACAACGGAATCTGAATGTGCCCTCTGCCCAGCACACAAAACCAGTTTTGTTCTCCCACCTGTGCTTTTGGAGGGAAAGGGAAATGAGCAGGCGACAAGGCATTCTCTGGTCTTCTTCCCTGAGCCCCCACTGTTAGCATGCTGAAAACTCTCCCATCCGCTTTGCAAGTCATCAGGAGACCTTATATTTTGGTTTATCTTGGTCTCTCTGATATGAAAGGACAGATATATTGCAGATCTAGGTTCTCTCTGGTCTGGTCCCCAATTCCTCTTAAGGACCCCAGGATTGGCCTGGAGGGTGGGGCCGGTTGAGCTTGGCCAGGCGCAGCCTCCAGGGGGCGCCCACGTGGTCCCTGTAACCACCGGGAGAGCTCCATCCACCCATATTCTCGTCTTCAAACTTGTAAACAAACATAATGCAGGGTAGTCCTTAGCTGTGCCTAATTAGAGAAAAAATTGTTTTAGAGCAGAAGGTAAATAAGTGTAAACATTTAAGTATTAGTCTGATGGAAACAAATTTCACGTTGCCATACTGCTTTTCTCTTTCGACGAGTGGCCCTCTACAATAGATTTCGGAGATTAACAGGAAGTAGATAAAAACCTGTTCAAGTTTTTCACTCCTAACTTCCCAAGACTGGATAGAGTCAGGGGAAAGGGAGTCCTGGGAGGGAAGGCAGTTCGGGGTTACAATGTCTCATCACTCCAGGCAGAGTCCAGCCCAGGCTGGGGGCGGGGATGGTCTGTAAAGGGAGGTCTCTGGAGCAGATGGTGGGTGCCAAGCACTTCCTTCCACCTGTGGGGTCCAGTAGGTGTGACACGTCAGCCCCATCAGCATCCTCTGAATCCTTAGGGATTCCCGGTTGTGGTCTGGTTCTTACAATATCCGGGTCCTCCCAGCATCTGGGGCCCCGGAGTTGGGTGCCCATCTGCTTAAGTGTCTGCAAAGATGGGTTCCCCGGGCACAGTCTCCCTCGGAGACCTCAGACGGAGCCACCTCCCCAGCTCTAAGGCCCTAACCTGGAGGAAAGTCTGGAAGTGAGAAAAAGAAAGCCTGGTTACAAAATGCTATGCATAGGGTGATCCCGACGTTTTACACTGCATAGCTGGTATGCGCCTTTGTCTGATCTGACCCTGCTTTTCCCTACCTGGCTGTTTTACCTTCATGAGTGTTTTAGGCGTCAGTCCCCTAATGTCACCTGTTTTTAGGGAAACTTGTCACTCCACTTGGCTGACATTGGGGGAGTCACTAGGTGGCTTTACCCTGCATACTTAGTCATTCTCTGGCTATTTTCATTTGAGAAAAACATGGCGGGGTGGGGAGGGATAAGTAGTGGGTCCTGCCCCCGTCGTATTCATGCTTTGTGTGTCCTTCTCTCTGTTGGTATGAGAGATCATGTCCGTACAGCGTGCACAGTATCTGCAGGCCAAGTCCACCCTGTGACAGACTTTCCAGGTGGTTTTCTTGGCAACCACACGGACTGATCTTCTCCCTCCCCCAACTTACCTGTTACTACAAAAAGCATATAATTCGCTTAGCGGAGTCCCCAATGCTAATACATCTTTATGAACCTGTACAGGCTCTCAACTCCTTAGAATTCATTTCCTAAAGGAACTAAAGCTTCTTTACCAGAACCATTTGAAAGTGCATTTCATGAACCCTGGGGTGTTTCAGACAGCAGTGACCTTCAGGATCAATGAGTCACCTCCCTGTCTTACAGATGAGGCCCACACCAATGACAATCAGAGCTCTCCTGGCTACTTATGTAGAAGCGGGACCTCGCCCTGGGCTTCTTGCTCCGGATCCTAGGGGCTTTCCATTGGACCGGGAGCCACCTCCGTTTTGGACCCCACCAGCCACTAACACAGCTGTCGTGTAGCTCTCTCTGGGGACAGGACCAGTTCACTGTGCTCTATGAGCACCCTGTGCCCCGGGTCAGCAATGACCAACAGCGGGTACTGCAGACTTTGACAGATGCCTGACCTCAGTTTCCTTAACGTAAATTGATGGTTAGGACCTTAATATTGTAGTTGCTTGTTTCCTCCAAAGGAGGAGATCTGAGCAGCTCCATGAGAGGTAGCAGCCTGGGACAATGGAAGCACAGAAAATGTGGGAGTTTTAAAAAGGTTGTTATTGTTTGATCCCTGTGCCTTATTATGAGAGAGACAATATTCTAAGGCTATTTTCTCCTCTTTGCTCATACTTAACTTTGATGAATACCTACATATTTCGGGGGCAAAACGACTCATAAAATAGGAGTACAGTAAGTACATATGAGCGCGTAAAAAATAACGTATGTGAAGTATGTAATAAAATGCCTCAAATGCACATTATTCACCTCGAGGATGAGAGGGTGTCGAAGACAGGGTTGGTTGCCAATTCTATAGGGTTTATATAAAATTTCTCAGTTGTAACAGGGTAATCAGCTACTTTAGGAACCTGAACTCTTTTCATTCTTCCATCCAGATTGAATACATCCCAGCTTCGTGTCTTTCCCACCAGCCATGCCTCAGTGTCGCACTTTCTTCTGTCATATTTTTGTCCACTTTCTTGGGCCTTTTCAAGGTCACGTTGGCTGTTGGTAAACTAGGCTAGCTAGCATGTGAGACAGGAAGCCTCCGCAAAAAGAGCCAATCTCAATTTCTTTTTGACTTTCTTATTTTGCTTTCCCAAATGAAATAGCCAGAAAGAATGGCATTGCCCTTGAAGCAGAGAACTTTGACTCATTAACGGATTTCCTAGAAATTGTGTTTCCTTTTCTTTTCCCCCCCTTTGGTCATGCCTGTTTGTCCTGTCTCGTTTGCTTTTACTCCCTCAACCAATGGATGAAGCTCTATTATGATTCTCTGAGTGAGCTTTTCAGAAGTGTATAATTATCTTATCTTCATACAGAAGACCGGTTCCTGAAATAACAGTGAGCTATTGGCGTGTCTGTCCGTGCGTTGTATTGAAGTCACCTCTTCAGGCTCTTTCTGAAGTTTCTCCCCCAAATCAGTCTGGACCCCTCATTCAAAGAAGGGGAAGGCTGGGCTGCTTTGCAGCTTTTAATTTGCTGGGTTTTATTCCTCTGCATTTAGCATGTTGAATAAACTGCATCTTCTGATGTCTTTCTGATTTTGAGAATTGGAGATTGGAGAATTTAGAAAAGCACTTTCATCCAAGAAATGTCCAGGAGCTCTGAGTCGTCAGAGCCAACTGTAACAGGCATTGCCCTATTAACAAAGTACCCTGGAGTCAGACAGGCAGAAGCAAATCAGGGCAAAGAAGAGTCCTATTCATTTTCTTGCTGCTGCTATAATAACTTAGCCCCAGTTTAGGGGTTAAAGCAGTATGAATTTATTCCCTGACCGTTCTGGAGCTGAGATGAAATTCAGGTTCTCCGGGCCTAAGTGAAGGTGTTGGTAGGACTGCTTCAAGCTTCTGGAGGCTCTGAGGGGAGAATCCATTGCTTCTCCCATTACACCTGTTCCTACTCACTCATCTCCTGCTCCCTCCTAAAAGAACCTTTGCAGTTACGCTGGGCCTGTTCCAATACTCCAGGATAATCTCCCCATCTCAGGATCCCCGACCTCATCAAATCTTCAAAAGAGTCTTTTGCCATATAAGGTGACATAAGCAGGGATTCTGGGCATCTTTGGGGCCACTGTCCGGCAGACAACCGCACCATGACCCCTTTCTCTAGTGACTTTCTTTGGCCTCTCCCTGTGAGGTTGGGCTGACTCAGTGGGGACGGGAGATGTTGACAGGGTGGCTGGCAATACCCCGTAAAGCCCCCATGCCCAGCTCCCAGCCCTCAGTGGCTGGCGGTGGCTGCCAGGTCTCAGCTGTCACCCTGGGGCCACCAAATGTGTCACTTGGTGTCCTGGTGCCCCATCACCGTTCCCCAAATGCTTGCCAGCCCCACTTCCTCACTCTGCCTTCTTTCCTTCTCAGCATCGTGTTAGAGCCAGGAGGCCTCCGTGTCAGCAAGCTGAGAGGGAAACTGAGGCAAGATGTCGGGCCGGAGCGGGAAGAAGAAAATGTCCAAGCTGTCCCGTTCAGCCAGGGCCGGTGTCATCTTCCCCGTGGGAAGACTGATGCGGTACCTGAAGAAAGGGACGTTCAAGTACCGGATCAGCGTGGGTGCTCCCGTCTACATGGCGGCAGTCATCGAGTACCTGGCAGGTAACCTGTTCCCCCCCCCTCCTGGCTCCCTACCCCGGCCTTCGACCCCTGCCACCCCGGGACAGGGAGGATCACTCCCCTCAGTCACAGGCTCGAGGCTCCTGCGGGTGCTAACGGGGTTTCCACGTGCCTGCTTGGCTAAGATTCATTTTGCAGGCTTTAGGGGAGGGAAGAGGGCACAAAGACAGGGAAACAACATGGAAAGAAGAGACCGCACCATCAAATGGCTTCTCTAGACCAGCCATGAAAAAGGTGTGTTTTGCTTTCGGCAAACACAGCGAGTAGAAGTGTAGGTTCCTGCATAAGAGAAACTCCAGGGAAGACTGGGGGGCGGGGGACATGCTATTCACTTTGTAACAGGGGGTCTTTGCTTTGCTTTGACATCTTCCCTGAGCGTTGGGTCTCCTGGTGTGTAGGCGCTAGTCCTCGGTGTCAGTGAATAGTGTTGACCCCCATCAGAACCAGCGCCACCCAGTTCCGTGAAGCCCGTAATGTTCCAGGTGCACCCTCCGTTGTATACAGTGGGTCCATAGGAAATAATTCCCATATTGATTGTTAACAGTACTTTTTTTTACTAAAAGATGAGATTTTTGCTGTGTGTGGTCTTTATATGTTAGAGTAACTTCCTGTTCAGCTCTTTTTTTTTTTTTCCATAGAAAGAGAGAGAGCACAAACAGGGGAAGAGGGGGCAGAGGGAGAAGCAGGCTCCCCACGGAGCCCGATGAATTCTGGAATCATGATTCTGGGATCATGACCTGAGCTGAAGATAGATGTTTAACTGACTGACCACCCAGATGCCCCTAGTTTTCTTTCTTTTTTTTTTTTAAGACTTTATTTATTTCTCTAAATAAAGAGAGAGTGCACAAGCAGGGGGAGTGGCAGAAGGAGAGGGAGAGAGAGAATCCTCAAGCAGGTGCCCTGTTGGGCGTGGAACCTGACATGGGGCTCGATCTCATGACCTGAGCATCGAAACATCTGCCCTCTTGGCCCCCATCTGTCACCAAGCAACGTTAGCAGTGAAAGGTTTGCCTTAATCCAGCTGTGGAAGCCTTCCCCTGGAGCTTCCTAGGCAGACCTTGGCATCTTAAGCCTGTCCCTTATTGTGAAATGAAAGGTTTGTCCTAGGCTTTTCACTGGCATCCTTTAGGAGGTTGCAGAGAAGGGCTGAGGGCTCTGTAAGTTGGTCCAATCAAGTGTGAGAGAACTGTGTTTTCAAAGCACCAAATATCCTGGGGATCTTGTTGACAAGGTCTGGGGTGGGGCCTGAGACTCAGCCTTCCTCGTGCGGTCCCAGCTGGTGCTGATGCTGGTCCAGGGATGGCTCAGAGGAGCGAGACTCTAGCCAGTCTTGTAGCAGCAGCAGCCTAAACCACTTAGGGAATGCTTGCCTAAAATGTAGGATCCTGGCTGCTTGCCCCCCCACCTCCACCCCACATATACTCCCTGTGGTCTGATTCACTGGGTCTGGAATGCGACCTGGGAATCTGATGTAAAAATCTGCCGGCTCAGAGAGGGAAAGGCGAATGAAGCTTTAAAACTATCACTTAGGAACACATCACCCAGTGCGACTAGGAGATACCGAGTAACCAGAGATCCCACAGCCTCCAAACAGGGAGCCAGGGTTCCCCCGATGTCCTACAACCCTAAGCCATGCACTTCTGCTGCACTACATTGTCCCATTAATGCTGGTATAATCAAATAATAGTTAAGTACATCCCATGCCTCCACTCAGTGAAAGTCTAAACTTGGGGCATAACAGAACAGACTTTGGCCTTTTGACTCACTGGCATCTCTGTTAGTCTGTGGTTCCAATAAAAGCTGGTGTTTCCCTGTTCACTCATTTAACCAATACTTGTTAAGCATCAACATGTCGGTGTACAGCAAGTCCTTAGCCTCTCCCCGGTATTAGAACTGGACCACTGATAGGATTTTTAATTTATGTCGGATTAGAGCCACCAGACCCCATAAGAATGCCTACTGAAGCCCCCAAACAGGCAGGAATCCCCGCCCTCAAGCAGGTGCATTCCGGGGAGGAGAAGCAGCAAACAAATAAGGGAAGTGTGTGTGATCTGGTGACAAGAGCTAGGAGATAAATAAAGCTAGGAAGGAGAGAGGCGAGGGGCGGGCGAATAGCGCTGGTTGAGGACCCACTGGGGGCGGGGCAGGGAGTGAGCATGTGTGTGTGCGTGCGTGCGTGCGTGCGTGCGTGTGTTCGTGCGCGCATGCGTGCGCATGCGTGCGTGCGAGTGGGTGCTCCAGGCAGGGGGAAGGCAGGTGCAGGGTGTTGGAGGAGCAGCCGTGGGCCCGAGAGCCCTGGGGCCGAGGGAGCGGCTTGGCCTATAAATGAGGCGGGAGGAAGACTGAGCCGGTGGGAGATAAGAGCTTGCACTGAGAGTTTTGGGGGAGTTTTGAGCGGAAGTGGAAGTGATGGGACCCTCTGGGGAGAGGGTACCAGGGCTGAAGCAGGGCGAGTAGCAAGACACTCTTGCAGAGATCCGGTGAGTGGGCGGCGAAGGTACTGAGAAGCAGTTAGAGTATGGATATATCTTGAAGGCAAAGCCAACAGCATTTGCCAATGTGTTGGACATGAACAAGGAGAGAGGATGAGCACCTGGAAGGATGCTATTTCCAATAACACTGCTTCCCCTGGGGCCAGTCCCAGCACCCAGTAGGGTTCTGGGCCAACGGGAGGAGGTGAAGTTGGTCCACAGAAGCCCAGGCCTGTTCTCTGTGTGCCTTCCTTCCCTTCCTGTCAGTTTAAATCTGGTGTGTCAATTTACAGGCTCTGTTACCTTGGCTAATTCCTGAGCCTCTTTGAGCTCACTCATTTAACTCCATGAATGAGCTAACATATTTTTAATGCCAGTTGCCTAGAATACCCTCAACAAATGGTCATTCTTCTGTTGTCCCTTCATTGAGAGCTGATGAAATCATTCGGGGCAAAGATAATGACTAACTCGGTTCACGTGTTACATTTTCCAGCAGTACTTGCATTCTACTGAAACAAGTTTTAAGCCAAAGAAATGAATCCTTATTAGTTTTGTTACTTTTGGGGTGGGGTGGCAGCCATCAGTTGGTTTTGTTTAGGAAAAGAGGTTCAAAGCATGAGAGCAACCTGTCACCCTTGAGACGACTTTCAGCATCCATGACACAAATCTCGACTGAACTTCTCCTTCGGATCAGGCCTTGAAGATCCGGAGGAAAGCAGAGGCCAGCTTCTGCCTCGGAAGGCAGGGCTGGAAGAACAGCAGGGCTGAGAGCATGAAGCACAGCAAAATAAGCCGCATACGTGCTGGGCAAGGAAGTTACCGGAGCTCTGGAAAGCATGTGTGGAGTTGGGATGCCGGGGGCTGCCTCTTGTCAAGTAAGAGTTATTAGGACCGAAACTGGGTTCGCAGCTCTGGTTTTTCTTAAGTTGACTGATCTAAAATCCTGATGCTAGGCTCTCATGGGGGTGTGTTCTAGGCATCAGGATTTTTCTAAAGCTCCCCCAAATGATTTTGGTGGCAGGCAGAGTAGAGAATTAGTAGGAATTAAGCAGATTCTGATGGGAGATTGAGCAGGGTGGGGGAGATTTTCAGATGGGGTAGAAACAAGAGTAAAGACCTGAAGTTTAGAGGAAGTGTGTGGCCCCTTCCAGAACGTGGAGGAGGTTCGTGCCTGGAGCAGAGTTGGGCAACGGGAGGGGGTAAGGGACGAGATGGGGAATGGGCAGGCGGGTCCTTGAGGTCGTGATGAAAACGTATATGTTATGCACGCCCAGGGACATAGGCGTGTAGAAGAGAGGCAGTGGCATCTGGGAGACATCACTTGGACTTTAAGTGAACGGTTGGCAGGAAGCAGATCAGAGTGCAGGAAACCACTGGGGCCGTTTTCATGTCACTGTTGAGAATTGATAGTGGCCAGGACAGGGGTGTGCAGAGAGGATGATGAGAAAAGATGGACTTCTAGGGGAGATATCGGGGGGGGGGGGGCAGGTAGAGTCAGCTCTGCTCCATGATGGATTGGATGAGGGGAAGGGCATCAGCGATGGCATGAACCTTTGAGCCTTGGGCTGGCTACTTTCTCTCAAGCCAAGCTGCCATTGGTTGAGGAGTGGAGACAGGGACCCCCATCTAAGAGGACTGGCCAAGGGGATGAGAAGAGCTAAGCAGCTGGTGTGTGAGACTGGTGCCTGTCGCGAAGCCCAAAACAATGGCAGAGAAACTGGGTGCAGGGGGCGGGGCTGAGTGTGGGCCCTGCGAGGTGCCCGGGAGGACAAATTCTGGCTCTGCCACTTATCAGCTGAGGACTGTGAGGTATGTAGGTTTACCCTCACAACATCGTGGTAAGCATTACGTAAGACAGTGCATGAAAGGGGCTTCACTTGGGGGTCCACGGTCGCAGCTCGCCCCAGGGCTATGGCTGTTATTGAGTGAAACCCTTCTAGGCATGCTTGGAGCCAGCAGGGAGCTGTGAGCTGGAGGTACAGATGGGAGTATCGTGGGCAGACGGCAGTAAGGGCCGCACTCTCTCTAGGTGACTACTATATTGCAGATTTTTTAATACTTTGGAAATTACATTTCAGCATCATTGGTTTTCTTTGCCATCCTATGTATTTTATTTTGTACATTTCAAACTTTATCCTGACACTCATTAGGATGGTTATTAAAAGAATTACAATTTTTGATAAGGATGTGGAAAATTGGAACCCTTGTGCATTGCTGGTAGGATGGTCATTTGGTGTAGTTGCTGTGGAAAACAGTTTGTGATTCCTTGAAAAGGTAAACATAGAGGTCAACCAAGGAATCGAAGAAGAAATAAGCAAGTAGCTGGAAACAAATGAAAATGAAAATACAACAGTCTGAAACCTTTGGGGTGCAGCAAAAGCCGTCCTAAGAAGAAAGTTCATAGCAATAAAGACCTACCACAAAGAACAAGAAAAATCTCAAACAGCCTAACCCTACACCTACAGGAACTAGAAAAAGAAAAAGCAAAACCCAAAACTAGCAGAAGAAAGA